ATTTTAATTATAAAATAAAGGAGAAAAAAAAAAAAAAAAAAAAGTGTATCTATATAAATGTATAATTATCCATAGAGTTAATAAAATGATTCATAAAAAAAGATGTATAGATTTTTTAACAATCATATAAATAAAATATTTAAAAGAAAAATAACTAATATTTCATATGGTTATTTAAACTTATCAATACATGATAAAATAATCCATTATTTTGAAAATTTAAAAAAAAATATAATTTATATAAATGATTCAAAAAATTGCAAAGAATATATAAATGAAATAAAAAAGAATTTAAATGAAAAATATAATTTTATTGGTTTAGATGTAGAAGGTTATAAAATAGGAAAACATGGTATAATTAGTATTATTCAAATATGTACAGAGAACATTTATATTTTTGATTTATATAAGTGTGATAATACTTATTTATTTATAATGTATTTAAAAGAAATACTAGAAAATGAAAAAATAATAAAAATTACTCATGATTGTAGAGAAGATTGTTCTATATTATATAATCAATATAATATTAATTTAAATAATGTTTTTGATACCCAAGTAGCATATAATTTATTTTTAAAAAAAAAGAAAAAAGATTTATATCAGATAAGTTATGATGATTTATTATTCAAATGCTTACTTTTAAATAATAATCATAAAATATATTTTCATAAAATTATCTCCTTAGATCCCAAAGTTTACTTAAAAAGACCAATTTCAAAAGAATTAATTCAATATGCCATTCAAGATGTTTTATATTTAAAACCCCTTATGTTAATTTTAATAGATAAATTAAATAATATTGATGAAAAAAAAAATATTTTATTAGATTTAAATGAAGAAAAAAAAAAAGTATATAACCTAGATTTACATAAAATAGATTTAATCAACTACGTAATAGATAATAGTCAAAAATATATTAATTATCAATTTTTAAATTCTCATATAAAAAATGAAAAAAAATTACAAAAAGGCATGATAATTGAAGGTATGATTGTTTCATGTAGTAACTTAAAAATTTACGTTAAATTAAATTTAAGTAAAAAAGGAGTAATTACTAATTATTTAAATCACAAATATGAAATTGGCGATATTGTTAAATGCATTATTTTAGGTTTTTCTGGTAATAATTATATTAATTTAGGTTTTTCTCAATCTTCAAATGATAAATTGAATGATTTAAAAATTATTAAAAACAAATAAAACTATCAACAATAATCACAAAAAAACCTTTAAATTATTAATGGTATAAAATTATCCTTAATTATGTTATTTTAAAATATTATATTTTTAGTTTAGATAGTTTTTTTAATTTTTCTAAGATTTTTACTCTTTATGACATTTTATTTTATATTTTCTTTTCATTTTCTTTTTATTTATTTTTTTCTATTTTTTTTAAAAAAGTAAAAAATTTTCATTATCTAATTGACATAGTGTCAATAAATATATGTTTAAACTAAAACAAAAAGTTAGAGGATAATAAAATATATTATTCATTAGTATTTTATTTGATTATTTTAATGTTACTACATATTAGTAATTCATATAGTATATTTTTTTATATATAACTATTAGAAATATACAAGTAATTTAAAAAAAAAAAAGGGAAACAAAAAATTAATATAAAAAGACTAACATTTTTTATGTATTTTTTTTTTTTTATTTTAAAACCTCAATTATTTTAATAAGACTCTAAATATTTCTTTATTTGAAAATTCTCAAAATACTTTTTTAATAATTTTTTTTGAATAACTTAAATTTTGTATAATTTTTATATTTTTTTATTTATTTTTTTTTGTGTGCACATATAAAAGTATTGGGAAAAAAAAAAAAAAAAAAAAAAAAAAAAAAATA